AGTGGTGCAGTAATGAGTCCTAAAACTTGGAAATTCATCCGTATTTTACCACTTCTTGTTCCCTCTTCAATGGTTTTTTAATGTGTTTTTGGTTGTTAGCCTGAAATAAGGTCTGTGGTTAACACAAGCTGAAGAGATTTAAATGTTTTATTCTGCGACAACAAATACGTCAGTAAATAACTCACTGGTGAATTTAAAAACCGCGGTAGCTAACAAGTGTCTAAATGAGACGAGTAAACGTCATCACGGCCAACATTAGCCACCTTTAGCTTAGCAGGTGGTGACGTGAAGTCATGTGACCGTGCTGTAGTTCCTTTATAGCCCAACATTAGCCACCTTTAGCTTAGCAGTGGTGACGTGAAGTCATGTGACCGTACTGTAGTTCCTTTATAGCCCAACATTAGCCACCTTTAGCTTAGCGGTGGTGACGTGAAGTCATGTGACCGTGCTGTAGTTCCTTTATAGCCCAACATTAGCCGCCTTTAGCTTAGCGGTGGTGACGTGAAGTCATGTGACCGTGCTGTAGTTCCTTTATAGCCCAACATTAGCCACCTTTAGCTTAGCGGTGGTGACGTGAAGTCATGTGACCGTGCTGTAGTTCCTTTATAGCCCAACATTAGCCTCATTTAGCTTAGCGGTGGTGACGTGAAGTCATGTGACCGTGCTGTAGTTCCTTTATAGCCCAACATTAGCCACCTTTAGCTTAGCGGTGGTGACGTGAAGTCATGTGACCGTGCTGTAGTTGCTTTATAGCCCAACATTAGCCACCTTTAGCTTAGCGGTGGTGACGTGAAGTCATGTGACCGTGCTGTAGTTCCTTTATAGCCCAACATTAGCCACCTTTAGCTTAGTGGTGGTGCCTATATAATGTCTCACACATGAGAAGCCACAAGGGTTGAAAGAAGGTTGGGTTGGGGGATAGATCTGCAGAAATCTACCAAAAATAGATATTTATGGATTGAAGCATCCCAGTGGCCTCCATAAGTATTTAAAGGAATACGTTTGAAACAATCAGCTCCTTCTTTTATGTCAATAGGATTATTTTAGGTACATTTTCAAACAATTGTATGCTTTTAAATACTTTTAGCACAAAGCAGATACCTAAGAGAATGGATAAAGTGAAGGGATCTAAATATTCTCTGAATTTATTTCCCCAGAGTCGACAAAAAAGCAACCATTTTACTCAACTTGAGCTTGCAGATCCTCACTACTTCCAGTATTCTTGCATTTTTGCCAATTGTTATCTATATACTTCACATTTTCTCGTCTGCCTTTTGTGAAGACTCTACATGTTAAACAAAACAAGTTGATCAATGTTTTGGTGGAGTTGGAAGAAACTTCCCAAACCTGTATAGAAAGGCGGAACAAGGTGGAAAACTAGGAATGATTGTGCAGATGCTGTGTTCTCTATCTCTCTCTGAGTCTTTGTGAAATCAGACGTTTGTGTACAGTGCAGTCCTGTGATCAGCTGATGATTTACTGATTAAGGGATTCAGCATGCCGTTTCCCCAGAGAGGAAGACATCATACGACCTACTTCTCTTTCTAAATCTCTGTCTGCCTTTCTTTCTCCGTCACTTCAGTAATTTGTCAGCAGGACTATTTATGAGACACGATAAAAGAGAAAAACAGTCCTGCGGTGAGATTTTTTGTACCTCCTGTTTCCACTGTTGAGAAAGGATGCAAAGCTAGAATGCATGAAAAGTCCTTAAAGGGGCCTTAATATGTTTCTTTGGGGCTTTTCCCTTTCTTGTAGTGAGTTGTTGTGCATGTAAAATCCCATGGCGGTATGAAAAAATAAAGACATTTTTAACATTAAAACATTAACATCTACAATCCTGGGCCTCTTCGTCTGCTTATAAAAGACATCTTTACATAAAGCAACTTGCAAACCTTATGCTACACCCTTTAAAATAATCTATTTATAATAAGCAGAGCTCTTATTTTGAAATGTTCCTGAAAATCTTTGTGCTCTTTGCAGCACCATCAGTCTGCTCTGCCAGCGACTCGCCATCCTGCCTTTCTCATTATCTCTCCGTTACCTCGAGCATCAAACCACCGCTGTCCTGAGCCGTGTAACCTCTATATATAGCCGCCCCCACACACACACACACACACACACACACACACACACACACACACACACACACACACACACACACACACACACACACACACACACACACACACACACACACTATTAAACCAATACCGTAGAGATGTTCCGAAATAACATCAAATCATCTCAACGAGAGCTTTGATTTCATAACGTATGTTTAATTCTATTCAACACGGGAAAAATACTCAAATGTCCTCCTACACATCCAGACTTCAAATTTAAATGTCTTCGAGTGAAAGCCTCTGTGGTGCACTTCAATGCAGCGCACCTGATTTGATGTATATTTCACCTGGTTTCTAAAAAAAAAAGGTGATGTTTCAACCTGGATCTGCAGAAGAATGTCACCCAAAAAATTGGGTTCAACATATTTGAATTGGAGGAAAATGAAATCATGACATATATAGGTGCCTAGTCTTTGATTTATTGTAAGAAATATAAGATAATATTAAGAGTAAAGCACTGTTATCATACTATAATTGCGGTTTTACTGCAGAAAAACGTACAGTAATGGACATGAGCTTAAAAGACTCGTTGCAAGCGTTACTTCTTGCAGCAGCCCCCCTGCGTATATTTCTAATTCAATGTTTCCAAAGGCTCCAGAGATCTGAGGAAGAAACCATGGAGCAGTCTGCAGGACGGACAGCCATCGGGGGATTTGACCCCGGCCGTCACAGCTCCAGTCTCCTCCTGATTGGTTTTCCTGTGACCGAGCATTGGATTTATTTCGCTGTAGGCGACGACCTGCAGAGCTCTGAACGTCCAGGAGACATGAGACCGTGACGTGAATTAATTTATTGTTCGTACGATTCTGACTCTGAGCTGCTGAGTGAGACGTTTCAATTTTGTACCTGTTTTAATTGTTCTATGTCCTATATATACAGAGATTGCTAAAGTAAACACATCCTTTGCTGAAGTAGAAGTACAGATACTCGTGTTTAAAAATACTCTGGTGAAAGTAGAAGTACTGACTAAACTTCTTTGCTCAAGTCAAAGTAAAGAGGGCTTTGAAATGTACTTCAGTAAAAAGTACCCATAACTAGCAGCTGCTTTAAAGAGTACCTGACCTCCCTTTATATTAATAGAACAATAATGTCATTGTTAGCTAATGAATGTTTCCATGCTGAACAACGGCAACATGACAACGTTTCCATTGGTCCCTCTTCTTTAAGGCCCTGTCACACTGTCCCGAAATTGACACCCGATGGACACACGAATATGGAATTGTGAATTTCGCACGAAGATGGCCCCGAATCACACACGAAGGCAACATTTACATTACATTTAAGACATACAACTGCAACGAAAGTACCAAAAACAATTATGTTACAGTACTATGATACTGTACTGATATCTTCAGACTTTGTTCTTTACTTTATCCGTCGTTATATGTAGAAAATATTACGTTTTCTCCGTAATGTTGTTTCCATAACAACAACAACTTCCTGTCAACTGTCCTTCAAAATAATATATGATATCCTTTTTAGTTTCACAGAACACAAATTGGGTTATTTACATAATATATTTACATGATTTTGTTGTGCAATAAAACAACCCGATGGACACACGATAAAGGAAATGTTCAAATTCGGCTGTGATCGTAGCAACATCGGGCCATTCGTGAGGGCATCTTAAGCCATCGTATGACCGCCGGTGGAGTTTCTCAGGCTCCGGCAGCAACTTCGCGAGCGGTGGCAAAATGTTTGGCATGCCAAAAAATTGCCGAAGGACCTTGCGAAGGTTCATTTTCGTGTTGAATTCGTGTGTCAATTGTGCCCTTCGTAAGGCCATCGTGAGGGCATCGTGTTATCATCGGTGCCATCGGGCATTCGCCCCGATCAGAGTGAGGGTGAATGCACCGATGATAACATGAAGATGACACGATTTGACAAGATGCCCTCACGAGTGCCTTACGAAGTTGCCGCTCACGAAGTTGCTGCCGGAGCCTGAGAAACTCCACCGGCGGTCATACGATGGCTTAGATGCTCTCACGAATGGCCCGATGTTGCTACGATCACAGCCGAATTTGAACATTTCCTTTATCGTGTGTCCATCGGGTGTCAATTTCGGGACAGTGTGACAGGGCCTTTAGAGAAGACCAGGAAATGATGGATACACGGATCGTGTTCAAATCAATAGGCACGCAATGACTCTAAAGAATAATGATCACGCATCAAACACACATTCAGACTAAAGGAACCAGCTGTTTGGAAAATGAGAGAAGTAGAAAGCTCAGGTATTTGGGTTCAACATGTAAGAAGTAGAAAGTACAGGTATTTGGGTTCAACATGTAAGAAGTAGAAAGTACAGGTATTTGTGTTCAACATGTAAGAAGTAGAAAGTACAGGTATTTGGGTTCAACATGTAAGAAGTAGAAAGTACAGGTATTTGAGTTCAACATGTAAGAAGTAGAAAGTACAGGTGTTTGTGTTCAAAATGAGAGAAGTAGAAAGTACAGGTGTTTGTGTTCAAAATGAGAGAAGTAGAAAGTACAGGTGTTTGTGTTCAAAATGAGAGAAGTAGAAAGTACAGGTGTTTGTGTTCAACATGTGAGAAGTAGAAAGTACAGGTATTTGTGTTCAAAATGTAAGAAGTAGAAAGTACAGGTGTTTGGGTTCAACATGTAAGAAGTAGAAAGTACAGGTATTTGGGTTCAACATGTAAGAAGTAGAAAGTAAAAAGCTGTCAGAAAAAATAAGTAGTGGAGTAAAGTACGGATACCAGAAAAATGTACTTAAGTACAGTAACAAAGTATTTGTACTCCACTACATCCCACCTCTGTCTATATATATATATATATATATGTTCCACTGTTGGAGGAGTCTGTGACTTCTGATTATCTTTTTTTTTTAAATCCAGATTTAAAAGACTTGAAGGGGTTCATACCTGCGATGTCTGGCGTACTTCCCGCTGACGTGACCGCTGCCATCACAGCCTGGAGTGGGACAGCTGAGGAGGAAACACACACACACACACGTTATATATGTTTTTGTGCATGTAAATAGTCGGCAAAAGCTAAAATCCCTGTGTTCCCTTCACACTCTCCCCCTGCCTGAAACGCCTCCATAGGACTCCTTTGTTTACTTCCTAAACATGGTGATATTCCCCTTTGGTACTGATCTTTGATTCTGGAATTTAAAAATTAGAAAAATGGTGGAGTTCCACAGGGGTCAATCCTAGGTCCTCTATTGTTTTCAGCGTAACTACGTCCAATGTTTTTCATCAAATCACAGCATCCTTTTTTGCAAATATACAGTACCTATCATATATAACGTCAGCAGGAGAGGAATCTTTAAAGTAGAGACACTACATACTGATATACACCTGAACATCAGCAGGAGAGGACTCTTTAAAGTAGAGACACTACATACTGATATACACCTGAACATCAGCAGGAGAGGACTCTTTAAAGTAGAGACACTACATACTGATATACACCTGAACATCAGCAGGAGAGGACTCTTTAAAGTAGAGACACTACATACTGATATACACCTGAACATCAGCAGGAGAGGACTCTTTAAAGTAGAGACACTACATACTGATATACACCTGAACATCAGCAGGAGAGGACTCTTTAAAGTAGAGACACTACATACTGATATACACCTGAACATCAGCAGGAGAGGACTCTTTAAAGTAGAGACACTACATACTAGGGGTTTCACCATCTAATCGATTAGTGGACTACCTTTACCACTAGTCGGCGCTGTAGGCCCTAGTCGACTAGTCGTGAAAAAAATGGAGGTAAACGAGGTGCTGCAAAATGCTCCAAAACACGTCCGACATTCTTATGTATGGCAGTACTTCAACAAAGATGTAACCAACTCCACAGTGAAGTGTCAGTTGTGTACAGCTGTACTGAAGTACAACAAAAATGCATCTGCTATGCGCAACCATCTGAAGATGAGACACCCGCTGCCGACAGCTAGCACTAGCAGTAATGCTAGCACCAGTGAGCAACGGACCGGCGACAGCACAGGACAGAGGCAGACGAGCAGCAAGAAAAAACGGGTCAACAGTGATGCGAGCTAGGGTTTACTGCCAGCGGACACTGCATATCCCCACAATGGATAACCCACTGGAGTGGTGGGCAGAAAACGTGCACCGCGTCCCCCGTTTAGCCAAGCTTTCGAGGAGATACCTGGCTATTCCAGCCACAGGCACCCCGAGTGAGAGGGTTTTTTCCCTGGCAGGCAACACTGTCACCCGAAAGCGGTCAAGCCTCCTTCCCTCACATGTCGATGCGTTGGTGTTCCTCAACGCAAACCAAAAATCTGGAAAGGTGGACGTTATCGTGGAGGACAGCGAGTAAAGTGTTGCGCACTGGATTTACGTGGCATTTCAGTAAACAGAGTTTTTTGCTGTCGATTTTGGTGAGTCCAGTTACTGTTTGTTATTTACTCAGCCATGTAACACAAATTAAAATGCAGTGTTTAATGTAACTGTATGAGTTCCGTTATAAAATACAGTTGTACACCTCTCTTTGTGTGTCTTTATTATGACGTAACGACTAGTCGACTACTATTTTGAAAAACGCGTCGACTAGTAAATATTGGTAGTAGTGAAACCCCTAGTACATACTGATATACACCTGAACATCAGCAGGAGAGGACTCTTTAAAGTAGAGACACTACATACTGATATACACCTGAACATCTGCAGGAGAGGACTCTTTAAAGTAGAGACCCTACATGCTGATATACACCTGAACATCAGCAGGAGAGGACTCTTTAAAGTAGAGACACTACATACTGATATACACCTGAACATCAGCAGGAGAGGACTCTTTAAAGTAGAGACACTACATACTGATATACACCTGAACATCAGCAGGAGAGGACTCTTTAAAGTAGAGACACTACATACTGATATACACCTGAACATCAGCAGGAAAGGACTCTTTAAAGTAGAGACACTACATACTGATATACACCTGAACATCAGCAGGAGAGGACTCTTTAAAGTAGAGACACTACATACTGATATACACCTGAACATCAGCAGGAGAGGACTCTTTAAAGTAGAGACACTACATACTGATATACACCTGAACATCAGCAGGAGAGGACTCTTTAAAGTAGAGACACTACATACTGATATACACACAAACATCAGCAGGAGAGGACTCTTTAAAGTAGAGACACTACATACTGATACACACCTGAACATCAGCAGGAGAGGACTCTTTAAAGTAGAGACACTACATACTGATATACACCTGAACATCAGCAGGAGAGGACTCTTTAAAGTAGAGACACTACATACTGATATACACCTGAACATCAGCAGGAAAGGACTCTTTAAAGTAGAGACACTACATACTGATATACACCTGAACATCAGCAGGAGAGGACTCTTTAAAGTAGAGACACTACATACTGATATACACCTGAACATCAGCAGGAGAGGACTCTTTAAAGTAGAGACACTACATACTGATATACACACAAACATCAGCAGGAGAGGACTCTTTAAAGTAGAGACACTACATACTGATATACACCTGAACATCAGCAGGAGAGAACTCTTTAAAGTAGAGACACTACATACTGATATACACCTGAACATCAGCAGGAGAGCACTCTTTAAAGTAGAGACACTACATACTGATATACACCTGAACATCAGCAGGAGAGGACTCTTTAAAGTAGAGACACTACATACTGATATACACTTGAACATCAGCAGGAGAGGACTCTTTAAAGTAGAGACACTACATACTGATATACACCTGAACATCAGCAGGAGAGGACTCTTTAAAGTAGAGACACTACATACTGATATACACCTGAACATCAGCAGGAGAGGACTCTTTAAAGTAGAGACACTACATACTAATATACACCTGAACATCAGCAGGAGAGGACTCTTTAAAGTAGAGACACTACATACTGATATACACCTGAACATCAGCAGGAGAGGACTCTTTAAAGTAGAGACACTACATACTGATATACACCTGAACATCAGCAGGAGAGGACTCTTTAAAGTAGAGACACTAGGGGTGTAACGGTACACGTACCCGTACCGAAATTATTCGGTACGGGCCCTTCGGTTCGGTACAGGTGTGTACCGAAGTGTACCGAACGAATATAACGTTAAACGTAAAACATTGAGAACGTGAACAACTTTTTGGAAGTAATCTCAGGTGCTGCGTCGCAGCATTCAGAGTAATTTGCTCACATTGGGTTCAATGCGTCATAGAGCGAGCAAGTCATTTCATTGGATGAGAGGCATACTATGAGAGCTGGTCAGAGGGATGCGTTCAAATGTAGTCAGTAATTTGAGGAACTGTCGAAAATTAATGGCGAACGCAGATAAAGTTGAGCTCGAAAATCCTCCAGCATCATTGAAGTCTCCGGTTTGGGAACATTTTGGTTTCGCAGTTACGTACAAGGATGAAGGACAAAGACAGGTGGACCGAACCAAAGCTGTTTGTCGGCATTGTTCAACTAAAATTGGTTACGCGGCTGGCAATACATCAAACTTGCACACTCTTGAAAAGGCATCACCCGAACGTGAATATCACCGGTACCAAAAGAAAACAGACTGAAGTGCAAACCCAACTCCCACTAGCATGTAAGCCTCCACCACTCGCAGAGAGTTCAGACCGAGCCAAAGCTATTACAAACACCAAATATCCTTATGTTGCCATGTTAGCAAAGCGCTACCTGGCTGTATCTGCTACCTCTGTCCCTAGCGAGAGGGTGTTCTCCACCGCAGGAGACATTGTTAGTGCCAGCAGATCTGCCCTTTCAGCAAGCAATGTGGACAAGTTCATCTTTCTTTAAAAAAACATGAAAATACAATGACAAGCAAGTCCTAATGTCAAGCTGGCTGCTTAGGTACTAGCACAGTACAGTTCAAATACAGATTATTTCAGTTCATCGAAAAGCTGCACCTTAATGTTTATTTTATTATATTTTGTATTTATTTGAGTGAATACATTATTCACAGTTTAATAATAATTTAAAAAAATATATATATATATGTTTTGTTTTGTGAAAAAAAATTCTGCTGTACCGAAAACGTACCGAACCGAACCGTGACCAAAAAACCGAGGTACGTACCGAACCGAAATGTTTGTGAACCGTTACACCCCTAAGAGACACTACATACTGATATACACCTGAACATCAGCAGGAGAGGACTCTTTAAAGTAGAGACACTACATACTGATATACACCTGAACATCAGCAGGAGAGGACTCTTTAAAGTAGAGACACTACATACTGATATACACCTGAAAAATATGGACACTTCAAAGTTCATGAACGAATTAAAGTTGGAAGAGTCTAAATGGGATCATCGTCACATATCTGAAAGTCTGACTCATCGTTATGAATCATTGTGCAGAGTTAGTGTTATTAAATAAGCCTTCAAAAATAAGAATCCATCACTAAAACTGTTCTTTCTGGATTGTAACGACCAACGCTGGCCTTTCTGTTTTCAGTCTAAAACACCCGTTTAGCCCCAGTAAACCTGAGTTTATATGAATGAGTGTTAAACACGGTTAATCTATCCTGAGCCCGGGTAAGGTGCAGGAATTTAACATCCAATTTAAAATGCTGTTGATGAATGCTGTTCATCTGGCCTTGATTTGGCCACATCTCATTCAGCAGCAGGAAGACGTCTCTCTGTCTGAATGTGTTGATGTTTTTATATATAAATATATCGTGAGTCACTCTGCAAAGAAGACACGCACACCGCCAGCCAACGCACACCGCCAGCCAACGCACACCGCCAGGCTTCAGGGAGTGCACACCCATGACCTCTGACACACACACACACACACTCTCACCTGATCCACACACCCTGAAACTGTAGGCTAAAAAGAGCTGCACGAAGATATATGTGAAGATTTAATATCACGAGTGCAGTCAGGGAAGGAGAGGAGGAGGAGAATGGAGGATGAAGAAGAAGATGAAATATAGGAGAAAGAGTTG